TTCTTGTCTCTTTTCACAATCAGGAATCACATTCAGATGTCTTGGAAATATTTTACACCAAATAATAAACAGGAATTTTGCATGTTTTTTATTCTCTAAGGCAGATTTAAAATTCATAAAAATAAAATAAACGATATACAGGGTGGCCCCACCAAAATTGACATCATTTAAAATGTGAATATCTTAGTAACTACATGTCCCAGGCAAACAAAATTAAATAAACTCCATGTTGAACAATAAAAGATTTATTTATCAAAATTTGGACAAGATATTCAAAGGAATGTAGATTTTATAACCTATTTCACAAATGTTCAATATGCTTACCATCTATGACACAACTCACATCAAGTTGGTAGTTCAGCTCCTGCCAAACATGCTGTAGCATGTCTTGCATAACATTCTCCACCGCCAAAGTGTCGCATGAGAAATCTAGGCTTCCATAGAAGCTCTTCTTATACATATTCTATGGCTTCACACAAATGTTTCTGGAACCTGATTAATGATTTCTTTTATTACTGGTGATTGTCCAGAAGACTTTATCCTGAACAGACAACATTCCTCTTTGAATATTTTGAGCTATGTCCAAATTTGCTGTGGTCACTTTTCTTGAAAATGCATGCTGCATACACTTGTTTGATTGTGTTTGGGCATATTCTAACACGGAAAATACATTTTCATTTTTAGTGAATGTCATTGGAAAAAAGAAAAAAAATAAGCATTCAACTTAGTTTTTATGCATTTTGTTAAAATTTGAGATTATTTGAATGAAAATTAGCTATGTTATTAGACTACAAAGTGATGTCGATTTTTTTTGGAGCACCTTGTATATTGATTATGCTAGAATATTTCACTCAAGAAGATTGACCTGTCATCTCCCTGAGCAAAATGAGCAAATGTAACCACATAATGCAAATCTATGGCACCCTTTCAAATGTCCATCATATTTTGGTTGACAGTACTGTCACTCTGTCTTTGATAAATGATGAAAAATCTTGCAGACTTTTTACATTAAAAGAAAGCAACCTCAATCAGTAAAATTTGTTTCAGTTAATGCCTCTAAAATGTAAAATCACTTTTGCCAAGTGATGCTAAATTCTATTTTGTACTCAAAGCACATGAATCTACAATAATTTAAAACAATGAATTCTTAACAATGCAAGTACTGCAAGGTAGGCATAATTTATTCTTTAAAAATAAAGAGATTAATAATAATATACAGATATATATATAATCATTTCTATATAAATTCCATTTTTTTTTTTAATTTTAAAACTTATGCAGACAGATTATCAATGTGCAAAATTTAAAAAAAATAATACCTACATTATTTACTAAGTAATAAAAATATCTCATCTTCATTAGTCAAACAACAAACAAATTTAGCTAAGTCAAAGTTCATTTCATTGTTTTCATAGTAATGTTTTCATAAGTATTATTCTTTTTTTCCAGTTTATCAATTTAAATATTATTTTTGTCTTCATATTTTTATACCTACATTTTATTTAGGTTTTAATTTTGATTTTTGTTCTTACAAATTAATTCAAATAAAATTCAGTAAATATTTATTCAGCAAATACTTGAGAACAATTCATTAAATGTGAAAAAGAAGGTTAAGGCTTTTGCTTTCCTTTCGTGGCTGAGTGGATGGATGGATGGATGGAGGGATGCAGAAGGAGAACTAAGTGTAGATTCCTTTTGATGAAATTTAATTTATAAAATCTAACTTCTTCTGTTGCATGCCATATCCCTTCAGGACATTAGTGATCATGGCTCTCCACAATTTCCTGTCCTTTGAAGATTTTGTCTTTTTGTTCTCTCCCCTAAACCCTCTTCTGCTAACTTAAATAGACTCCATGTTGTTTCAGTTAATGCCTCCATTAATACCTACCATCTGCATATCTTATGTGGTTAAGATTGTGGCTAAGTTTGTTAGGTAGGTTATGTGCTGTATTCCTCTTTCCTACTTGCCTTCAGTATGACCTGTGAATGTTAAACTTTCTAAGCCTTCTTTCCTCATTATGTGCCCTGGAAATTTCAACTATCTCTTTCTGATCTTATGTATAAGTGTCCTTTTTGCTTTCATTTTCTCCAAAACTTTGTCCTTGCTCACATGTTCAGTTCATAATATTCTCAGTATCTTTCTGTAGGACCACATTCCTGTTTCTTGAAATCTTTTCTTCAGCTATGAAGAGATTGTCCAGCATTCACTGCCATATAAGAGGATCAGTACTCTTTTCTCTGTTTCTAATAAAATTTTCCCATTTCATAATACTTTGCTTAGCTTTTGGAAAATATCTTTCGCTATCCCAATGCATTTTCAGATTCCCATATCACACTTTCTGTCCTCTGTTAAAACTCTTCCCAGATAAATTCTTTTACTTTTTAATTTTTTTGTTATCTCTTAATTTTTAATTTGCATGTTGGGCTGTTCCTTTGGATGACAACCATTCTATCTTTTATAATTGATTTTTAGTCCTTCTTCTTGCTTTCTTTCACTACCTTCTGTAGGAAATCCTGCAGTTTACTTTGTCTCTCTGTTATCAACACTGTGTCATCTGCATATCTTATGTGGTTAAGATTGTGGCTACCAATAATGAATCTTGGTAGAACTTTTCCCTCAATCACCTCACTATAGGTTGAATAACTCTGGTGAGAAGACACATTTTTGTCTTATGGTCTTTGGTGAATCACTTGGGAAAATCAAATTTGGGGTCACAGTCCTGGCACTTGAACTGTTTCAAACTATTCTTTCATCATCAGATGTTACGATTTGAAGGTACAATACAAATCTGTGTGATTTCTCATCTTAAACCTGGCTCCTCATATTTGAGCATGTCCAATTTTGAATTATCCTTCTCCAATGCTAGTTGTCTACCACCACAACTACAGAGTTCAATTTGCCCTAATATTTAACTCCTAGTTGAAATGGAGAATAGATGGATTTATACCTTTTCAAAGGTTATCTGTGCGAAAGTGAATATAACAATCTCGACTAGAATTCAAACTCTGCATGCTGGTTTCTCATTCTGAGTTTTTAACCATTGCATCACCTGTACATCCTCAACTCAGTACAAAATGTTTATTTTATTTTCCCATCAAGTAAAGATCTATCTATTAAATTATAATTTCCCTGCTTATACTTTTCTCAGACAATTAATTTTAAACATGGAATTTCTTTTATGTTGTGAGTTGTTAAATATATATTATATCAAATTATTTTTGTCTATATATCTGTCTGATACCTGCACATCAATTTAAAAGAAGACTTAAATACAACAATATTTAAAATTTTATTCGCCATAAACTATATGAACTAAAACTGTGTCAATATCCTCAGAAATCTGTCATCATCACCAGAGCTATTTATCAACTTCAAGGCACATTGTAAATATTCTTGTTTATACATTTGTTTGAAAGTTTATCAAGGCCTCAATGAAGAGTTAACTGCAACAATATTTATTCTGGTTCATGGTTTCTTCATCTTACCACATCCATATTTATTTGAAACAGTATTTTCTGTGGAACTTTAGAATGACCTTTCAAAAAACATCGATATGATATGACATGAATAGCTATATCATGGCTGAAATCCCCAATCTAGATTCTTCTGGAAAGATATTAATATTATAATTTCCCTTTTTTTATACTTTTCTCGTGTCATTAATTATGAACATAGCATTTCTTTTATATTCTTGTAAGTTGTTAAATATACATTATAGGAAGTTGTATACATCAGTCTGATACTTATCAATGCCCCAACCTAATAGGAAGGCACAACTGCAATAAATGAAAGGAACCAACACTATGCCAATATTTTCAGTCATGTTGATTAAATTTGGTGATTCTATGGGAACCAATGTTGCAGCATGGTATGACTATAAGCCCCATAACCTATAAATATAGCATGCCTTAAAACTATATTTTTATTATAATTTATAAATTATAATTTTCCTTTTTTTTATTTTTCACATTAATTTTGGACACTTCTTTTATGTTGTTGTAAGTTTCAAATATACATTATAGGAAGTTGTTTATACATCTGCCTGACAGTTATTAATGCCTTGACATTATTAGGAAGACATAACTGCAATAGTATTTAAACTTTTATTCTCCATAAAACTAACACTGTACCAAACTCGGAAATGTAAGTCATCATCATCACAGCTGTTTCAACTAGAAGGCACATCAGGTAAATCAGTGCAGTTTCTCATCTTCAGCTTGGCTACTCATTTCCAAGCATGCTCCCTTTCTCAGAACCATTTTTATTTCTTTAATACCCACAGAGTCAATTTGTGGTTTGCACTGTAACTATACTGAGCACACCTTTGTTACATTTCTAGTCTATGCCTCATCAGGGTCATATACCAAGCAGCCAGAACAACTGTTGGTTGAAATTTATAAACTCTTTCTCTTAAAGCAATTCTTCAGAAAAATAGGTTTCTCAATTCCTGTAGCTGTTATAGATCTTTCCACTATTTCTTTTCTAATCTTCTATTTGAAGTTGTGTGGAATGTCAACATCTTGATTGATTATGACTTTCTCATTGAGTTACATGTGATATCAATTTAAGTTGTTGCTGCTGTTGGAAATCCTTGAGAATTGTACTTTCTCTTATTCAGTACAGTTTTTGTCTTCCCTGCTATTTAACCCATAGCTTGGGGGATGAGATTGATTCATGCCTTTTTCAATGGAATTTGTTCAAAAGTTACTGTAACTATCTCAACCAGAATTCAAACTTGACTTGTCAGTTTATCATTTCAAGCTTCTGATCATTATACCAGCTGCACATTCAAACTATTCTGTACTGAACTAAAAAGAATAGTTGGTTTTCATTAGATGATGTTACCAAGTATACACAAGTTCATTGCTGGAAAGTCAGTATTTTGAGATTGAAAGATTTGCTGGGTTCTGTGATATTTTATATTTTTTGTTTTCTGTTTTGTGTTCTTTTGCTGAAAGCAATAGCTGAGGTTAGCAATGTCATCTGGATGCTATTTCTA